GCTTCCACCCTTGAGAGAGGGGAGTTGGGGCCAGAACCTAACCACTCTTGGGCGCCTTTCTCCGTACCTCGGAGGCGCGCCACTGGGAAACAGCGAATACGAGCTGCCGACACAGTCTCCCCGAACCCCCTCCAGGGACGCCGTCACGGTGCACGCCCGAACCTGACAGAGGGTTCAACCCACCAAAGTTCCTCCCGCATTGAAGGGCCGTTTGTGTTGGACGTGTGCACGCGCACTGATGTGCAGCTGCAGCTCACAGCCTGCGTGCACAGCACGCGCCGTCTGTGGGTCGCAGCGCGACGTGCACTGCAGTAGCACGCGCTGGAGCACTGCGCGCCCCACCAGCCCGGCTCGCAGCGGCACGCGCCGCTCCGCGGGTGGCACGCGCCGTGCTGGCACTGGCACGCGTGCTCGCAGCGTGCTCCCCAGCGCCGCGCGTGACACGTACACTGGCCGGTCACATCCTCGCACTGCCCATGCGGGTGGCAGATGCACAGCTCCTTGCAGTCGGGTCCCCAGAACTGGCGCGGGCACTCTGCAGGGATGAGCGGAGAGAGTGGCAGGCCCGGGCGCTCTGGAGGGAGCCTGGGGCCCACCCTGAACCGGCCAGAGTCCCCACCCACTCCCCACCCCGGCTTCGGGGAACGGGCTCTCACGCTGGATCGGGTTCCCGGATCAGACCCCGCCCCTCTCACAGGCCACGCCCATCTCTCTAGAATCCAGCCCCACTGCCCAGCGCTCACTGGTGTCGCAGTTGGCACCGAAGTAGCCATGGCGGCAGCGGCACTCGCCAGGCCGCACGCACACCTCGTTCTCCGAACACGTGGAGTTGCCTTCGCACACCGCTGCGGACAAGAGGGGACCTGAGCTGCCCTGCGTCCAGCCCCCACACCATCCCCCTACTCCGTACCCCCACCCACTGCCCCCACCCCCACTGCCCAGGTCCCCAGGATGTCCCACTCACCGATCCCACACTCGTCCCCCTGCTGCTTCCAGCCGGCACAGCACATGGGCTCCTGGGAGCTGCAGGCAGAGAGAGGAGCCTGAGCCCCAATCCCCCTCCTGGCAGGGGCTTCCCTGCAACCTCCACTCTGCCTTGGGGGAGTGGTTATCATGGCCCTGCTGTGTATGAGGGTCAGGAACCATTGTAGGTTTGGGAGAGTAGTGGCAAATGAGACACACATTCCAGCCCTCCAGCGTATGACACCGGGAGGTGCAGAGGGCAGACCACCAATAGACCTAACTTCTAAGAACTTCCCAGTTCTCTCTATAGGGTCTCCCCATCCCACCTAACTCTCTGGACCCTCCTCCCCCAGCCACTAGGCCTGAGAAAGAGACCCCAGGTGTCCCAGGAGGGGCAGCAGTGACAGGGGCTGGGGAGGGGTCCCTGGATCTCCAGGACCTGCTCAAGTGTGGCATTCTGAAGTGCCAAGGCAGACAGATGTGCAGCCTCTGGGTGAGGCGGGTAGACACAGTGAGGCATCCACTCAGTGGAGGTGCCTCCTAGAGGGGCAGGGCACACCTGGGGAGTTCTCCACAAGCGTAAGGGAGGTAGAACTGGGAGGTCTCCAGGGCAAGAGTTGAGGTGTAGGAAGGAGATATTAAAGCACCTACTTATATGTTTTTAAAATCTTGTTTAATTTTATTTGGCTTTACAAGGTACAAGTCACCTCAGTAGGAGGCATATCATTTAGAACTGTCACATTTCAGGGTAGTACAGCGCCCAGAACTCTGGGCTGATGGGGTGTGTGGGCATGACGGTTTGGAGGCCCCGCACAAGGGCTGAAATGCGGGGTGCCCACATTTGGGGGGCAAAGGAGGCTGAGAAGGAACAGACGCTCAGATGCAGATTCATAGGGTCCCATCAAACCTAGAAGAATTTCATCCGAATCCTAAAGGCACACAGCAGCCATTCACATTTTAGAGAAAAGGAGTGGGCTTCTCCAAAGGAGAGGGACCGGGATGGGAAGAGGTTGGGAGGGGGCCTACGGACCCTGGGTGAGTGGTCCAGGTTGGGAAGGGAAAGGCTGCCCCCCCTCACCCCCTCAGAAGATGCCGCACGTCCCCAGGATGTTCCAGGACATCAGCACACCCTGGATGGGGCCTTGGGGCCTCACCCCACAAAATAACTCCATTCTCCCTCAGGCCCAAGACGTGGGACCTGGGAACAGGACCCATAAAATCCTCAAAGGGCAGGAATGGGGCTCAGCTGATTTTCCACAAATTGAACTGGATGCCTGACACAGGGAACACAAAGGCCTGGCTTCTCCTGCCCCCCATGACCTGCACCCCCCAGGCCTGCCCCAGGGCTCCCGGTGCCCATCTACAAGTAGGGCCTTCACCCTCGGCCTTTTCTGCCAGTTCTGAACCCAAGTCCCTGGGAGGAGAGGCCCTGCAGGTGTCCTCCTGCTGGAATGGTCCTGGAAGCACGGCCGCCTCCTGCCTGGCCACGTGATTCTGTGGGTGAGAGCCTGTTGTAGGGCCCCAGGAAGCTGGATTTGATGCCTGCCTCTGCCCCTTGCTATGTGACCTTGGGCGCAGAACTCAACCTCTCTGAGCTTCAGGCTCCTTCTCTGTAGAATGGAGCCCATGGGTTTGGCAGGAAGATTAAACCAAGATGTCTCAAGCATTTGGCACAAACGAAGAGCTCAGCCAGCCCACACTGAAAAGGCTTCAGGCTCCTATACCAGTTGCCTCTCCTCTGCCCCCGTGGACACCCCTCCTCTGGCTTCCCCACCCCCAGGCTCTCTCCTCTCTGGAAGCTCACTGGTCCCATCAACATGCTGACAATCCAAGCCTGGGAGCCCTCCACGGGGCCCTCCTTCCAACACTGAACGCCTAGCTGCCCCCCGTCACAGGGAAGCCCGGTCCTTGCAGGCTGGGAGGCCGAATTCCCAGAGCTGACCCTGACTCCGCGCACACATCACATCCATTGGCTCTACCGCTCAGAGTGGATCTAGGATGGGACAGGCCACTTCTCCCCTGCTCTGCCCCAGCCTGGAAGAGCCACCCTGGCTCTCCCTGATTTTTCCTGATCCCCCAACTGGCCCCACATTCTGCCCCCCCGCCCCTCGTTCCTCTGCCACCTGAGAGTCAACCCTTGTCAGCTGCCAGCCCTCCTCTGCACAAAGCCCCCGGGGAGTTCCCATGGCCCTCAAAAAACTCAAGTCCTTAGAGTCGTGGGCAGACCCCACTGTGGATGGCACCCTTACTCTGGCCTCTCCACCACCATCCCCTTTCCCAGGCTCTGGCCAGCCCCCAGGTCCTTCCCCAGGCCCTCTGCACTCAGAGCCTCACCCTGGACGCCACAAGGCACTGCCTCCTCTTCCCTGGGCCTCTGCCCACTTATCACCTCGCAGTGGGTCTCCCAGATCACCCTAGGGAAGCAGCACCCCCCACTGAACACCTCTAGCACTTGCTGGATGGCAGATGATTTGCTGTAAGTTTCCTCCACCACCCGGGCAGGGGTGTTTGTCTCCCCTGTTGCGCCCCTGCACCAACCACAGGCCTGGCACATGTGAGATACATGGGTTTTAGTGGCTGTCGCTCCCCTCCCCTGGTCCTCCCACCTCTGGGGAAAGGGAACTGCTGGGGGGAGCCTTGGGAGAGTAACAAAAAAGAGCGGCTGTCCTTCCCATTAATCAGCTCCACCCATGATTGAAGTCACCCCCTCCACTGCATGAGGGAGGCCCAGAGAGGTGAAGCGATTCGCCCAGGGCCACACAGCGGGGAGAGCGGCAGCAACAGGATTTGAAACCCAAACCCGAGCTCTTGGCGAGTAGAAAAGGCCGCCTCATGGGGAGGTCTCAGGGCTGCGGGGAGTGGGAGCGAAGGGCTCAGGCTTCCGACAGCTCCAGCCTGCCACCCACCGGATCCTCAGCACCGACCTCGAGGGGAGGAACAGCTGAGGCTGAGCGGCAGGGCTCGCAGCGATCGCGCCCTCCCCCTCTCCAGGCAGGGCCCCGCCCGCCACCGCCGCTGCATTCCTGGGGCCGGGAAGGCCCGGGAGGCTGTGTCGGCGTCGATGCGAAGCAGATGGCGGGCCTGGCCGGCCCCCGCCCCAGAGGCGGGGCTCGCAGCGGGGAGGGGTCTGCG